AAATATTATTTTTTATATATTAATTTGCTAAACTTACTTAGTTATGAGAGGAGATATCGCTCGACTTTCGCGATGTACTGAGATATGTACAACTGGAGATGGAACTATGCGAAGATCTAAACCGTTTAAATATACATATGAAAAAGAAATCGTTATGTATGCACTTTGATTACTATATTTTTCGTTTATTTAGGTAATATGCTTCGTAATATACGCTTGAAAGTACTAAATATTTATAATTTATAGGTATGCTTACTTTAAGAAGCTCGATTATTTTTCAACAGAGTGTGTATATTCACCAAATGCGTATCGAGGCCATGTACGAACTTTCATAAAAGATTTGGAATCTATACGGCCTAGTGCTATTATAGGTAATGGTTATATATAATGCTTAAAAACGAATTTATGAGACTTTTTTTTTACCGTTTGGTTTTGCTGCTATCAAAGATATCATACATTCCGGTGAAGCTTTTGAAGTAAAAGAGGGGGTAAAATTACCTATACAAGGAGTATGTAAGCGTTGTGGATACATGTCTAGCAATGAACTTTGTAAAGCATGTATGTTACTAGAGGGATTGAATCGAGGATTACCAAAGTAAGTTTGTGATTTTAAGTTATTGGCTGCTTATAGAAATATTTTATTCTCAACACGGATGTCTTTTATTCGTAGGCTTGGTATTGGAAAGAATTTTAAATAGAAATAGTAGAACCAGTATATAAAGTCGGGTACAAAAGATTATGATCTAATATTTAACGAATGAATTTTTATATCAATCCAAAATCTTTTCAAATTAATCAAATATGTTAATTTAATCGATCATTTCGGATATAAACAGACCGTATTGTTTACAATGTAGTTTTATTCAAATAAAATATAAAATTGATTTAGTACAAAACACAATATTCATCTAATTTTAAATTCTATTAAGTGTGACAGATTAGAATCTAAAAAATTATAAAATCAACATACGAAGTGAAATTATGTTGTGAATGGATTTAATAAAGGCACTTTCATGTATTAGGTAATTACCTAATACTTGACAACGCAGAAATTTCAGACTTTGTTGTCAACCTCGAATCAAAGGTAACTTTACCCAGACGTTTTACTGTAGATACAATATAGTTTAAATTTTATTCGTTTTGGTGCATATTGTTTATTCAATGTAATTTAATTTTATCAGCATTAATACATGAAAAACTTTGATCGAAGATATTTATGTAAACATAAGAATAGATGATGATGATTGCCAATGTGATTATTCAATATTAGATCGAATGAGATCATTAGGTTTCTTAATGGGTCTGCTCCTTCACACTTTCGCACTTTTATTGTTACAAAAATGTGATATCATAATTGTATTTTCTGAAAGCATTTCGCCGTAAATATTACTTTAAGGATAAAACTTTGGTTAATTAAATTGCAAACTTACAGAGTAAAAGAAATAATCTTTC